ACCCCCATGCCGTGCCTACCCCCAACCCACCCAAAAAAGGCACAGGACTATATCTGTAAATAAACGATCTTGAATACGTTTGCCGAATAGATAAAGGTATCACAATATGAACACCTCTGATAACAATTATCCACATAGTCTAATGTACTGGAAATATAAATTTTGCCAAGGAAATTATCTTCACGACGAAAAGGAGATGAACAATGATTTCCATCACTTACGAATAAAAGTCAGATTTTTAATAAATAAATTAGATAAACATTTAGTCGTCGGTGTTGTCAACCTTCAATAATTAAAAATAACAACAAAGCACAATCTTACTCAATCAGCTTTCACCTTGTACGATTATCATGTGCTACTGTCACCTGCGGCTAAGGTGAAAGCACTATTAATAATCTATTTCCCAGATTGCCAATCCTCCTGTCAATTCAATGCAACAGTTCTCGCAAAAGGAATAAGAGAATAATCACATAAATGGTGCAACTAATGGAATACATTGTATTTTGAAGTATTCCATTTTTCCGTTTCTTGGGGTTTTGTTATTATTAAGTTAATAACTTATATATCTGCGATATATCCAAATTAAAATAGACTCATCAAAATAGAGGGGAAATTGTGCTCCCCAATACCAAGGCAGGTCAGGCCACAGATTAATGGGATTTTTGCCACCTTTACCTTTGTTTTTTCTTTTCAACTGAATCAAAACAGGAAGAGCGACAAGTTATCTGGCCCCTTGATTTGATTTGAATTTCATAGACAAGGACATGAGAATATATATGTTCGTGTAATATTTTTGATCGGACTACTATACATCCGCCCCTTTATAATTTGAAAATGCCAACTTTCAAAAGATGATCCGTTCTATTAATAGATAATATGAAAGATGGACAGCTGGACAATTAGCATGATAGAAAAGTGTAAATTATCCTATAATTTGTCATGGCCATTTGATATATCTGTGACATGCTTGCAAATGCTATAATTGTGCTATTTGATATTTTTATCTATACTATATGTCACTTCAGATATCAGAGAAAGCACATCAGCAAACAAGTATAGTAATAGTATTGACTGGCTTGGGATATCTCTACAGTTGTAAGAATAAAGAAAGACTGATTATTTGTATAAGTTTGTTGATTTTAATTACTTGCTTGACTCAAATTATATAATAAGCAAGGCTGGAGTCAAGTAATTTAAGTTCCCTTAAAGTTTTCTTTATATATATATATATATATTGTAGTTAATATACGCTTATCCAGGAAAACGTCTTGAGCAACACGATCTATTTGGATTTGCTCACTGAAATAAGATTGATGAAGAGATACGGAAAGCTACAAATCAAACATGAGAAATTTAGAGCAAACAATGTCTTAAAACTATGTTATTAATTGTTTAAGATGATAGCAAGTTTCTAATAATCTTGTTCTTGTACTAGCTAGATAAATTAATTAAAAGTTAATTAACTAGATTAAGACCCTGTTGATGTGGTTAAGGGTCCAGTGGAGAACTTCCAATTCTTGAATCTATCTGTTTCATTCTAAAACTCAATTATGTCTTTTCTTTGACTTCTACTCCATACTAACCGTTATCGTTGCAAGTGTCTAGTATTTGCACTTTCCATTAATAATCTAAAATTGATGAACTTTACACGTCCAAATTCTTAACTTTTAACTATAATTCAAATTGAAGCTAATTAATTAGGCGTCAAGGGGGAAAACGACTTTTTCTTAAAGGTCAAGTAACATTATATTAGTAAAAGTTTAATCAAAGTCAAAGTTGATCAATTTCGAACTATCACATGTACAACTTGAACCCTTTACCTATTTACTAATGGGAGTTACCTCATTTCACCCTTAATTGCCCGCAATTTCTCCTTCCCCACAAATAGAAAAAGAAAGAGAAAAGTAGAAAGCATACAATGAGAAATGATGGAGATTAATAAGTAGTTTCGCCCAAGTTTCAAAAACCAGTTTATTTTGAAAAGAGTTTGTGTTTGGCTAATTAATTTAAAAAATACTTGAGCAACAATTAATATTTGACCAAGTTTTTAAAAAGTATTTTTAAAATATATTTTTCTCAGAAGTATTAACTGTTTTTACTTCTACTCAAAAAAATATTTTTTTTTTTAAAAGCTTGTCCAAAAAATTAAATTTGGTCAAACAAGCTATAATTAAGTTAAAGGTAGATGAGCGGGGCAAGAAATGCAATCATTGTCACCTTATAAAAAGGTTTCCATCAGCCTTATTTGATGTTCTATGTGGGTCTATGTTGTTATTATTATACTCAGTATATGTGTCTATCTCTAATGTCTATCCTGTAAAGATATAAGAATTCAGCACCAGCAAACTAAAAACCCCAAGTCCTATCATCAACTTAATTCTCTCACTTCTCTAATTGTCTTTTCAATATGCATTTCTTGTAAATATCTCAGCCCTCCATTAGATTTGAACAAAACAGTATTTTCTTGCTCTTTTCCCAACTTCTACATCATCTCTGTCCATGGCTGCCTTGATTAACTATGGATTATCAGAGAAGAAAAGCATGGCCCGAACTGCAATATTAACCATAGAGCTTCTTCTCTTATCAACAGGACTTGTGTCTACTTTTTTCATGCTCAAAAAAGCTATAAACCCCCGCTACTTATTTGACATATTTCTTGTTAATCTGAGGGAAAGTTTGAATTCTTTGAAAAGCTTCTTGTCATCTCCACTATATATCTGCCTCTTTATCAATTCCGTTGTCATCCTTATCTTGACTTTCTCCAAATTTCAACACCCAATAAAGAACTTTCTCAATGTTTTTCTAAATGAAAAGGATGCTGATGGTATTCAGATTACTCAGCCACAACATCATGAAAAAGTGGACATGCCGAATAGAACTAATTCAGCAATTGCAATGGACACCGTTATGTCTTTTTTCAGCCGTTATAATTCCCACCCTTCAGTATTAGAAGATATTCAAGATGAGATGTCTAGCAGTGTGAAAGACATTGAAATTGATAGTATACAAACAGCATGTACTTTTTCAGACATATCTCATTTGAGTGAAGCCAGTGAAATCAAGAAACCACGTTCACCACATCCGCCACAGATTACCACTGCTACAAAAATAAAGACAAAGCAACAAAAGTTTGAAGAGTTTAAGGAGACTCAAAGCAAAGAAGAGGAGGAATTAGAGGATGATTCATTGGAGGCGACATGGAAGGCAATTACAAACAAGAAAAAGGAGCTGAAAAAGTCATTGACATTTAACGATGCTTTATCGATGTCTCGAATAGGGGGGGCTAAGAGGGGACATCTCTGTAAGTGCAGAGGAATCCAACAAGAAATTTGACGATTTCATTAAAAAGATCAACCATGAGAGAATACTGCAGAGGCAAGAATCTGATCAGCGATATATGCTAAATAATCTGGCCCGTTAAGTTAAACTCAGATTGCTTAATTACTGGCTAGAACTAGTATCATTATGCATATAGTTCAATTCAATACATCTAATTACTTATACAATGCGAGGCCAGCAAAAGAAGAGTTTTTCTCCTCATCATCACTAGTACTTCAATACGTCTTGAAATAATTCGCGAGTGTTGCAACATCTTCAATTCAGATTGATTTTACTTTGTTGTTTATGTAAAGTACTATCACTTGCAGCATTTTCTGGTGACATATTTTGTTTTCTTACTTTGTTTTGTGTGTGCTGTGCTGAACCCAAATTTTTAAATTATGGGTGCTAGACTACTTTTAATCTGGAATTGCTACTGAGAGTGGATGCTCACTCAATAAATTGTATGCATTACTATAGTTTCTTCATATATATNATATGATTATTTTCAATATATATACACTTGTATATTCTGAATTTTTGCCGAAGTTAACGGGTCCAGCTAGTGACACCTCTTCTCAAAGCATAAGTCCGCCTCTATAATATAAGTAGGACTCCAAGAGTAATGTGTGCTGGAGATATGTTAACATATATTTTAAAATTTCTTTTTTAATATATATTTCAAATTTCCTTTTTATATAATAAGACTCTCTTTTTTGAAAAAGAAATGTTAAAATATACAAATCAAAGCGGTTTGAACATACAAAAGATCAGTAACTAATTCCAATTGCTCCATTCACACGTTAATATGATATTATTAGTGTCACCATCTTAGTTGTCGTCGTCCTTATAATATACTATAAAGCAATTACGTGTATTTTTAAATCCTCAACTAATTCTATGTAGGGTACTTAACAACAATGCTTTAAAAGGTGGTGTCGTGAGTAAGCCCGAGTACATGGGGCGTAAGTCCCACTGATCCTTAAATTTTACTAATTTCAAAAATTATAACAAATAATCTATTTAAAATATTTATAAATTATAATTCAACTATGAATAATACGAAAAGTCTAACATATGTATCTCTTAAGGAGTAATGAATCTTGAAAAAATTTCGATATTATAATTTGATATTTTTTTAAATACTCCTTTTATTTAATATGCTTTGTATTTGAAAGAGAATTTATATAAATACATAATTCACAATTTAAATATGATTCTCTAGCATCATTTATTTTTAAGTTTCAACAAGTTAATAAGGTGACACATAATTCACCATACTATACCATGATAACTAATTAAGTAATTATTTGTAAATAGTTACTAGCTAATACTGGGCTATTAAATTAATAAGTATTGTATCTCGTAAACGTGAAAAAAATAATATTTAGAAAAATAATTATAAAAAAAATTATGGACTATTATATAATAAAGACATAACAAAAGTTAATAAATAAATACTTTTAAATGAAAGAGTTATTTAAAATTTACTATGATAGCAGTCTTAGTGGATAACATGCAATAATTTTTATTTTAATTATGACATAAAATACTCTCAACTTAATGATTAATGATTAAGAAAAAAGTAATTTTGAATAGTCAACGATTTATTAAGAAAATTTGAGGATTTACAAGGTTAGTTACATACAATTGCATAAAGTTCTATCAGGCAAGCCCACTACGCTGGGCGTTGGGCGTGTCTAGGGCGTAAGTCCCGACGATCGAGGCGTAAGTCTCACGGAACTAAGCCCCACACATAAGCCCAGGGGCGTTTTACGAGTGCTCCCCGGGGCGAGTCCCAATTTTACCTTTTAAAACAGAGCTTATCAATGAACAGCTAAATATGGGAAATATGCAGATGAGTGCAACTTCAATAGCATTTTGCACCTTTTTTTAAAATATCTGTAAAGTACCTCTTAGGTCCCATTTTAAGTGACATTATTGATGTTGGAGTCAAATAATTTGGCGTATTGACTATTGGATTGGGTTGATTCGTCAATGGAACTGTTAGAGTTGAAGCGTGCACAGTTTATAACTAACTTTGATGCTATTTATTCTCCTGCCTCTGTAGCATATTTTTTGGACATTTTCAGTTTGTTTTTCCTTGTACGTAGAAGTATTGAAATAAAGCTCAAGTTCCCTGCTCAAATCATTAATATTCCTGGAGCAACAAACCAAACTAAGAATAAATTTAACTACAAAGAATACACCAAACATAAAACAGAAAGCTCACAATGTATATATTAATATTCAAGTAATTAAATGGAATTGTATGTTGTAATTGATGGAATTTACGTAAATACATTCCAAGATCATACTTGTATGTAAAATAGACAATGTTACTTTAATCAAACATAAATCAGAAAATTGCATGTTGAAGCGTGTTTAGTTGCACGAGTGCTCGCAATTGTTCCACGATCTTTTGTTATGATTCATAAAAATTGCATGAAAAAGGGCAAGTCATCTTTCACACAACGTAGTTTTATTTTGTCCACCAAAAGCAATGACTTAATACAGCTAATTTGTGATAGAGATTTTAAGTTATAAGCTCTTTTGAGATTTAAATGTATTCTTGTATGTAAAGTTATACTTTAATATGTGGTTCTTAAATCGTTGTTCTTGGTTGGGTATCTGCTACTCATCAGCGGAGTATACCATAAACTTTTCTGTAATTAGGTGGCAACCAGCTTATCATGAGGTCCAGTGGGCTGTGGGCAGTGAACTAGAACCTGGTATATTGGTCTCATATCTTTATATCTTAGGATATTTACATAATGAACATAAATTCACGAATAAAAAGTCAATTTCTCAATGTATATAACTTTTAACTCTAATAGCCTTTTCTTCTTCTTTATGCTGAGATGTTTCTTGCTTCGTAAAGATAACACGATATATACTCAAATTGTCACAAGATGTTTTGAATCCAGCTCAAACATCACTTTCATGAGGAACAACTAAACACTTGTAACATACTACAGTCCCAGGTGGCGAAGAGGCGACATCCAAGTGCCATACTATTTCTTGAAACTTAATTTTTTCCCGAATGAGCCATATAGCCAAGGCCCAACAGAAACGAGGAATCAAATTGTAGTATATATTTGAGAAAACTATCCTCTATAACCCTTCAAAATTTTAATAGCCCATATTTTTTCCCATTGATACGAAATGGCCCTCCGGCCCAAACATATTACATCTAATAGCCTGAAATATCTATTTTGTATATTTTTTGTATAGTGACAGTCTATTTCGTATATTTTTTGTATAATGACAGTCTATTTAGTATATATTTTGTATAGCGACAATCTATTTTGTATATTTTTTGCATAGTAACAGTCTATTGTATATAAATTGTACAATGACAGTTTATTTTGTATATTTTTTGTATAGTAACATTCTATTTTGTATAGTGACAGTCGATTATATATAAATTGTGTAGTGATAGTCTATTTAGTATATTTTTCGTATAGTGACAGTCTACTTTGTATATATTTTGTATAGTGAATACTATGCATGAGATAAAAAATTAAAATTTTAAAAAGCAAAATACTTCAAAAATAATACTAAAATCTATTTTTGGAAGTTGGAAGGACGAAGGCAGCAGCTGCTGAAATGGACGCTACAATCCACATTTGAATTTTCGAAATTGCAACTCCCAAAACCCACCAAACAATTCTAGTCCTCTTTCTCCCCTCTTTCCCTCCTCACTTCGATCGAGGACCTATTTTCCTTCCCCTTTCTCCCAACCCCTAATTTCAAACACCCCAAATCTCTATACATATATCAATTCAATTCAATTCAATCCACACACATAGATATATAGAGCCAGGTTGAAAGAGAAATGAAGGAAAATAGAGAGAGAGAAGGGTTGATGGTGGCGACTATAGAAGGACAAGATAGGGTTCTTGCTGCAACTCAACATTGTGTTTCCGTGATAGTTGGGTTTGTCAATTTCGGTGGCTAGACCTAGAATTAGTTTTGGGCTATAAAATGTATATTGAAATTTATGGCTACCGATTGTCATTAGTTTTTTTCGGATGGCTAGAAGTGATAATAGCTCCTTGAATTTTCGTCCCCGCTTGTTCTATGGGCAGAACTTTAAGTTAACAAGTATTATCTCTCGCTTGCCTTATGGACAATACTTTTAACTTTTGATCTTAAAGTCCACCCATAGGACTAGAGGGTCAAAAATTAAAGACACCTCAAAAAGTGTCATATTTTTGCAATTTTTTAAGGAACGAGACAGGCCGAAGCAGTGCACAGAAAAGAAAAGCCCAGACGCAAGCGGCGTTTTCCGCGAGCCCAAACCCGAATTTATATTTGTATGTGTCTACGGTATTAGGCGCCATTTCGATTCGCGCATCCAAGTATTAGGGTATTTGCTAGGGTTTAGCTGCTTTCTTTGACCGCAGAGCGAGCTTTACTTCGTCGGAGAAACAGGAGTCTTAGCCATGGCTAGCACCAAAGTTCAAAGGATTATGACCCAGCCCATTGTAAGTTCCTTCATATTTGAATGATTAATTTAGGACTTCCCAGTTTTCACTCGGTACTAAGATTTTGGATAACGTGTTTTCTTGTTCGTTTGTTTTCTCTTTTTGTTGCAGAACCTGATTTTCAGGTTTCTTCAGAGTGTAAGTTTCTCCGCGTTTGTTTATGCTTAATTTTTATTTTCTACTACATTACTTAATGGATGCTCTGCTCATGTTCCTACAATTTATGTGCAATTGCTTACAGAAAGCTCGCATTCAGATATGGCTTTTCGAGCAGAAAGATCTGAGGATTGAAGGACGTATTATCGTAAGCTGTCTTTTTCATACTTTTTAATTTAGTAGTTGGAATGTGAATGTAGCATGATCTGTTTCATGTTTTCTCCCAAATAGTTTCCTCAAATACAGAAGTGAAAACAACGTAACTAGTCAGTTAATTGCCCACTGCTTCCTTTAAATTAGAGAGGAAGTTTTGCAAGTTACCTGTTGGACTACAGAACAAACAAAGGTATGCAGCAATTTCGAGGTCTA